AGCTCCTAAAAAAGCAATGGTACCAGGGAAGGCAAGCCAAAATTCAAGAATTGGGGACTTTACAAAGTAAATTAATGCACAAATATAACCCTATGATACAGAATCAAATAATAGAAATCAGAAAGCAATTGGATGCACTAGACTCGACAACATTATGGAAAAGGGAAGCTATGGTGAAAAATGAATATCAAAGAAATAGTATTAACACATCAAAAAGATTAGCAAAATACCTGCAAAATAGGAAGGAAAAGCAAAGGGTAAAAAGCATAAAGGTGAATGGCCAAAAAACTCAACACCCTATAGAAATAAGAGAGGCGTTCGCGACTTACTATAAAAATCTATATGCGAAAAGAGACACTGCAGTCTTTACAGAAGAGGTCAAAACTACACTGAAGGAAGAGGAGCAAAGTAAATTACAAGAGGAAATTACCATACAAGAAATAAAAGATGCAATTAAGGAACTCAGAAAGGGGAAATCCCCGGGTTTAGACGGGTTTACAAGTGAATTTTATAAGGAAATGGTAGAAATATTAACCCCAGAGCTACATATGGTCTTCAATGCGATCTTGAGGGGGGAGAAAGCCCCAGACTCATGGAGACAAACAGAAATAATAGTAATCATGAAACCAGGTAAAGACCTGGAAGAAGTAGGTTCATACCGTCCCATTAGTCTCCTTAATCAAGATTATAAGATCTTTGCTAAAATCTTGGCAAACAGAGTAAAGAACATCATACCTAATATAATAAAAGAAGATCAATATGGGTTTATTAAGGGGAGGAATATTGCTCACCCGATTAGGAACATAATAAATGTACTGCAACATAGTCAACAAAAAAAATTAGCCCTCCTAAAACTAGATGTCTATAAAGCTTTCGATACCCTCTCTCAGGGATTTTTGTGGCAGGGTATGAGAAAGTACAAGATGGGAGATAATTTTATAAAAGCAATCCAGGAAATATATAGAGATGGGAAAGCAGTGGTTAAGGTTAACAATGACAAATCACAAACATTTCAGATTCAGAGAGGAGTGCGACAGGGCTGCCCACTCTCACCCCTTCCATTTACCATAGCGATAGAACGAGTTGGCCAAGCCCACTACAGCCAAACCCTCTGCACATGTGTGGCTACAGAGGGAAGGCCTGGAAAGCGACACCCCCATGGTGACTCTGAGGTGGGCAGGCCTGGGGGCCCCTGGAAGGATCGGGGAGGCATTTAAATGCCTCCCCGTGTCTACCCTGGCCTGTCCAAGGACCGGCTTGCCTGGGCTCTCTGCAGTCACAGGGCGCCCCAGCAAGCCAAGGGAAGGCACGGGATGTGGCCTAATATGCTAATGAGTTGTGCTGTCAGGGGTGTGGCCTAATATGCTAATGAGTTCCTCCTGGGCTTTTTCTACAAAAAAAGCCCTGGCCCTGACTAACCTGACCTTATCAGAGCTTGGAAACCTAGCAGGTCAATCAGGGTTAGTCCTTGGAGAGGAGGCAACCAAGGGAAACTGGAGTTGTTATGCAGAAGAAAGCAATGACAAATCATCCCTGCTTGTTTCTTACCTTGAAATCCCCATGGCCCTGGAGTCACCATGCATCAGCAGCAACTTGACAGTACACACTTATTATCAGAGGTCATTTCGGGGGGGAATGCGGGGGAACGCAGTTCCCCCGGGTGAGGTGCAGGGGGCGGGGCACATGACGAAGCCCCGCCCCCTGCTTCCGGCCGCCCTGCTTCCAGCCCTCATTTAGCCAGGAGGAGGCAGAAGAAGAGGGAGGGTAAGTTGCTTCCTCCCCGCCTCTCCCCACCCCTGCCTGGGGCCAGGGAGGGCCTTGGCAGGGCTTCCTTGCACTCCCAGTGGCCTTGCAGGTCCACCGCCGGGCCCCTGATTCAGGGGGTGTGGCATATGCTAATGAGTTATGCTAATGAGTTCCCCTAGCTCTTTTTCTACGAAATGACCCCTACTTATTATTCTTAGTAGGATAAGCTGCTGATTGAAACTAAGGAGCCACATTCCTCCATCGCTGTAGTCTTGGCAAAGTGGGGGGGGGGGGTTGAGGAGGTTACTAGTATTTGCCCAGGGTGCTAATTCGAAACCTTGTGGAGCACTTCATTCTATCTGCACAGAGCCGTCAAGAATTTTTCAGGAATTGTCATACAAATAGGTTTGGAAGAAATGATACTGCAATGTATCATTCTTTCTATCTTATTCATCATCGCATCACTTATCTGGTAGGAGCATTTAAAGCTTCACTTGCTGGGTTCAGTAATGCAACATTCCTGGAAAACTTTACCAACCTCAGCTGTCCCACGGTTCAAGTTGCCTAGTCTAGGTTTTGTATGTAAGCGTCATCAAGTCACAATCAACTTATGGTAACCCCATAAAGGGGCTTTCAAGGCAAGTGAGAAGTGGAGGTGGTTTGCCATTGAGATCCACTATACAGTCTTCCTAAGCAGTCTCCTGTCTAAGTACCAACCAGGCTCGTAGCCAGGATTTTTTTAAAGTCAGGGGGCATTTAAATTTCTTAGGGGGCAGTGGCTAATCAAATTAATCTGGGGAGAAAGGCCGTGACACCCTGAGCTAGATGGGAAGGCAGGGGCCCTTGCCAGTAAGTTGGGGGGCCTAGCCCCAGGGTGCCCCACTGTAGCTATGGGCCCGGTACCAACCCTGCTTAGCTTCCAAGATGTGATGAGATCAGGCTATATGATGCTTTCTTCCCTCCCCTACACTGGATAGCCCAGTATTAAGTGAGGAATGGGACTTTTGGTCTGCATGGTATGAGCTTCAAGGTAATTGTCAACATGCTTTAGTAAACTTCTCAGGATTTTCATGAGATTATGTGCAATATTTGTGCTAGGCAATTTTTTAATGACTAGAATAAAAATCTGTTTTTGTGTAAGATGACGAACCTGGACTGACTCTTTATTAATTTCATGGATACAGTTCTTCTAGATCAGATGGAAATCCTTATCATCTGGGCACAGAAGGTCTTCCTCTGCTATTTATTCAGGCCAAGTGGGGTATCCTACCAGGTAGGGGCCAAAGCCAAGAAAGCCTTAGCCCTGGTCGAGGCTAGACAGACGTCCCTGGGGCTGAGGACTACCAGAAGATGTTGGTTTCTGGACCTCAGTGTCCTATGGGGCTCATATGGGTACAGAAAGTCTCAAAGATATGCTGGCCCCTAGCTGTATAGGGCTTTAAAGGTAAGCACAAGCACCTTGAAACGGATCTGGAATTCAATAGGCAGCCAGTGCAGTTTTCACAGCACTGTGTGGATATGAGCCCGCACAGGCGTCGCCATCAACCCCTGTGCTGCTGCATTCTGCACTAGCTGTAATTTCTAGAGCAGAGTCAAGGGCAGGAAACCTAGATCTTGATTCAGTCCAGGAGGAAGCCAATTGAATCTTGGTTTATTGCAGGCCTAAGTACCAAGGTGCCAACTTTGGAACATCTGAAATGACTCCACTCTCCAAGATATAAGGACAAATAGACTCACAGTCTAGCTGTAGCTGAAAGAAGTGAGCAGTGACTCACGAAATCTCATACCCAGTCAGATATTTTGTTAGGCTTTGAGGTGCTACTGGACTTTTGCTCTTTACTACTGCTATAGACAGGCTAAAATGGCTACCCATCTCGGTGCCTTTTTAGTTCACCATGTTAGATGACACAGATTTTGCATTCTCCCCACACTGCTGTCATAGCATGTCCTCTGCTTATTTATCCTTATATCTTTCATTAAGTGGGGTTACTGGACCCTTTTGCTCACTTGTAATCAGGAACTATTACTGAGTGGGGAACAGGAGGGCCTTTTGGCCTGGCCCTCACATTCACAGAGGGCCTCAAATTTAGATTTTTTGGGGTGATCTCCAAATGAGGCATCGGCCATAGCACGGTAAGACAGACTGGTGATGCAGGAAAGTGGAAATAGCTGTTTTACCTCCTACCATGGCAAAACAGTTAACTCCGCATCTCTATTTCGATAATTATCAAGTAGATTAGATTGTGTTATTTATTTAATTAGAAAATATATATACTGCTTCAGTATATATAGTTCAGCAGTTCGAGACCCGGGTGCCGCATGACGGAGTGAGCTCCTGTCTCTAGTTCCAGCTCCTGCCAACCTAGAAGTTCGAAAGCAAGAAATTGCAAGTAGATAAATAGGTACTGCTTCAGTGGGAAGGGAACAGTGTTCCGTGCGCCTTGGTGTCTAGTCATGCCGGCCACATGGCCACAGAAACGTCTTCGGACAGCGCTGGCTCTTCGGCTTTGAAACGGAGATGAGCACCGCAACCCTAGAGTCGGGTTCGACTGGCTTTAGAGCAAGGGAACCTTTACCTTTACCTTTATCACAACACTTGCACATAAGATTTTTCTAACGTGAAAAGGACCAGTTCTCAGACCTCTTCTTACCTTATAAATAAGACAATGGGAAATGCCTTTTGTTCTCTCAAAGGTAACGCTGATATTAAATATTGTAATAGACATGTACGGCTTAGGGCTGCCAGCTCCAGTTGGGCTGTACCTGGAGATTTTGGAGGTGGAGCCTAAGGAGGGTGGGGTTTGGTGGGGGGAGGGACTTCAATGGGGCATAATGCCAGAGAGTCCATCTTCCAAAGCGGCCATTTTCTCCAGATGAACTGGTCTCTCTCGCCTAGGGATCAGTTGCACTCCCAGAACTTCTCCAGCCACCACCTGGAGATTGGCAAACCTAAGGGATTCTGCTGTCTCATGTCCACCTCATGTCTGTTAATGATTGCAAATAATCTGTGGCCCTTGGTTTCTTAAGTGAGAAATAATAGCATCGTATTGTGCAATTATGACTATGTCATACACTTGAACAACAGGTGGAAAACAATGATACGGTGGATTACACAGAGTAAGACAGACACTATGCAAAACCATGTTATGTCTAGAAAACTGCTCCCGGGCATATTAGCCACACCTCAGCACCTCATGTTTGCCAGTCAGGGAATACGCCTCATGGATTAATGTGAAACAATATACACGGATGCCTTCAAATTAGGGACTGGGAAGAGTCCTGAAGTCTTTCTGATCCACCTGCCTTGAGCCACCAGTTTACAGGTGTCCCGGTCGGTGTCGGCTTCAAGATGATCTCTCTCAGTGCGGCCAACACAGAATTCTGCTTGGACCTTTGCAAGGAGCTGAGCAAGCAAAATGCTGGGGAAAACATCTTCTTCTCCCCCATGAGTCTTTCAGCATCTCTGGCCATGGTCATGCTCGGTGCGAAAGGGAACACCGAAGCTCAGATGGAAAAGGTAAGTATCCTACAATGCTCTGAAGTAGATTTGAGAAAAGATTATGCAATCTAGAGGAACAAGACAAGATGTGTTTATAAAAGTGTAGGCATACACCTTCGGGACTGCCTCTCTCGATATGTCCCCCAAAGGGCATTAATATCAGCAGATAAGAATCTTCTGGTGGTTCCCAGCCCCAAAGATATCCGGCTGGCCCCAGCCTGGTAGAACTCTCTTCCAAATGGCGTCCGTGCCCTGGACTATTAAAGTGAAAATATCTGGGCCCTTTGGGACAGACGGTTGGCACCCTCAGACCCTCCTACACAGTCCTCCACATCCCTCCGCTCAGAGAGCTGGTGGGAACAGGAATTATTCGCCTTCTTAAATAATGAAGTTGTATTGTCCGAAGTATATTGTTTGAGTAGGTTTTTAATAGTTATTTAATGGACTATCACTGTGTTTATTTGATGTAAGATGCTCTGAGCCCTGCTTGCAGGTAAGGGTGGCCTAGCAAGATGAATTTAATAAATAAAAAATAATCTATATATCTAATAGTGAAGTCGCCCCCGTGCATGCAGATACCTAAATCCACGCATCGGTGGCACCTGGGGGGGGGAGGAGATTTTTGTGCACACTTGGGGCAGTCCCTAGGTGTGCACAAAAATCTTAAAAGTTTGAAAAAATATCGGGGGATACTTAAATCCCCCCAAAACTAAAAGAGCATTCCCTGCGCATGCGCAGGGAACGCTCTGCGACCTGCCTCGCTTCAGTGCAGGGGGAGGGGAGCGAGGGAGCGACCAGTGAGGCCCAGCGGCTGCAAGCCGCGGGCCTCGCTTTGAGGAGGAGTAGGAGGCGGGGGGAGGCCTGGCAGCTGCAAGCCACAGCCCTTGCTTTGAAGGGGGGAAAGACCAGTGAGGCCAGAGGCGGGGGGGAAGACAGCCGGGGGAGAGAGACTGGGGGGGCGGCGAGCCGGTGTTGGTAGTTGAGGGGGGGGTGGAGGAGACGGGGGAATCGACGGGATGGGGCGGAAGCTTACCTGCTTCTTCCTGCTCCGCTTGCTCTGTGTGGAGCTCCCCCGCTCCTCCCCCCGCAATTTTCGCGGGTCCCCTTTCTTGTAGTAATTATAAATACAAAGGTATGTAGGAGAGCCAGCGTGGTGTAGAGGTTAAAGTGTCGGACTAGGATCTGAGAAACCCAGGTTCGAATCCCCACTCGCACCATGGGAGTCCGCTAGGGGATCTTGGGCCGGTCACACACTCTCAGGTCAACCTCACAGAGTTGTTGTGAGGATAAATGGAGGAGAGAACGATATAAGCTGTGTTGGGTCCCCATTGGACAGAAAGGTAAGATACAAATAAAGCAAATAAACAGGAACACTTTAATGCATCCTTTTAAAGGCAATGATTTGTCCCATGAATGTACATGGAACATGGAAGGATGGGGCCCTCACCTGCAGGCAGACTGGAAGATATTTGTTCAAAAGTAGAAAGTTATTTGCCCAGACACTGGGCTGGATGTCTTTGGGCTATGGTCACAGAGGGATGGCTTCTTGTTATAGAGACTAAAATGATTGCGTTCACACTGTGGGAAAGTCCCTCAAAGTCATTTTGGATCCACCGCTTATTTTATCTGAAATCCACACTGGATTCTGGCCGGGGTGGGGGGGACGTACCAGGTGGTGGAGGCCCTTGCAGGTGACTCACTGATGTCACCAGCAACGTGCTGATTTCACTTCCTGTGCACACCAGAAGTGACATCAGTGCATCCTACGGTGATGTGCTTACATCACTTCTGGGCGCACGGGTGTGACATCAGTGCAACTGGACAATGCTAGCTCCCCCTCCCCATTTTGTCACCATTTCCCCCCCACCAGCCAGTTAAGTGGCAGGAGAGAGTACAGGCTGGGGGTGAAAGAACCTTGTCCCCTGGCACCCCTAATTCTGACCAAGCAGAACCACAACACCAGTGTTCCCTCTAAGCTGAGTCAGTGTGAGCTGGCTCACAGTTTTCTAGCCTCCGGTTCACACATTTTTGTCTCAGCTCAGGAAGGAGGGCTCCAGAGCAAACTAATTTATCCAGTAGCCAAATCGCTTGCTCACAACTCTAATGCTCACAAAGTAGAATTTTTGCTCACAAGACTCCACAGCTTAGAGGGAGCATTGCACAACACTGAGGCAAAATCCTACCACAGGCTGCAGGGCCGGCTCCAGGTTTTGAGGGGGCCCAGGCGGAGAGTTTGTCCCTCTCCCAAAATACGAGAACTTGAGGGGCATCCAGTGAAGCTGATGGTCAGTAGATTCAGGATGGACTAAAGGAAATACTCTGAAGAGCTAACAACAGGGTACAGAGGCCGAGGCCTTCCCCTCATCTTGCTTCCAAGCCCTACCATCACACATGTTTCGATGTATTTCAGGACCATGCGTGAATACTTTTTAGTACTCCGAGTCCTGAATGGCAATTGTCCCTAAGCATAATTTTACTGATGGGGGGGGGGGGCAAAGGGAAACACTTGTGTGACCACCAGGGAGTATGCCGCCCATGAATGAATTTGGGCTACTTTTCTCAGAGTCTGTTGTAGATTTTATGGGCTGTATGGCTGTAGTCTTGGCTTTGTAGTACTACAATGCCAGACCACGGCCATACAGCCCGGAAAATCTACAACTAATGAACTCCGGCCATGAAAACCTTCGACAACATATTTTCTCAGAGTAGTGCAGAATACATAAACCAGATTCCTTGGGATTCCAGGGGGGAAACCGGAGGTGGAGAGTTACAAGCACTGAATCCGGAGTAAAGGCGAAACAGGATCAGGTACGGAGGAACTGCGGGGTAAAAATGCACGTGGAAAGGGCCAGAGTTTGAATACTTCTTACCTCTGTTCTCAGTAAATCCCTTGAGAGATAATTGTTTTATACTGAGGGGGAGAGAAAGGGAAGGAGATGCATCCAACAGGTTTATTTTATTCAAATGGATATCAGGAAACATAATTTAAAAACAACAACAACCACCAAATATATATAAACCCAGGCAACTGGGAGACAAGGTGGGGGACAGATTTAAAAACCACAGGAAGTTTAGAATATCAAATTATTAAAGCTATTTAGAACTGCCAGTAAAGACTTTGTCAAAGAGGTCCCGACCCACAAGAACCAGACTACAAAAAGCACTGAGGGACTCTGAAGGCTGTCTTTTAAAGTTCTGTTTAAAAAGGTAAAGGTTCCCTTGCTCGAAAGCCAGTCGAGTCCGACTCTAGGGTTCCGGTGCTCATCTCCGTTTCAAAGCCGAAGAGCCAGCGCTGTCCGAAGACATTTCCGTGGTCATGTGGCTGGCATGACTAAACACCAAGGCGCACGGAACTCTGTTCCCTTCCCACTGAAGTGGTACCTATTTATCTACTTCCAATTTCTTGCTTTCGAACTTCTAGGTTGGCAGGAGCTGGAACTAGAGATGGGAGCTCACTCCATCATGCGGCACCAGGGTCTCGAACTGCCGAACTACTGACGTTCCACAGCCTGCAGTTCAGCGTCTTAACCACTTGAGCCACCGCAGCTCCTGAAGTTCTGTTTAAGGAATTGCAAAAGAGATAGGAACTTCCTAATGTGTTCTGGAAGGCTATGCAATATGGCTGGAGTAGCTACTAAGGAAGCCCATGCATGGGCAGCCGTGCAATGAACCATTTCAGGATCTAACCCACAGGAACTGCTCTCTGTCCTGAGCGAAGGTGCCGCATGGGCTTATATCAGGAGGCAGGCCAGCCTGCGTCACACAAAACACTTGGCGTGCTGTGGATTGGCCCGAAACCAAAAGCCACAAGATAAGTTCAGTACCAAGAGTTGCCAGTCACATGGTGTTTATGTTGCAGGTACTTCACTTCAATGAGATCAAGACTTCAGGATATGGACACTCCTCTGAAACGAGCAAAGAACAGCCGGTAAGAGTACCTGTTAACATGATGGGGAAAATAACAGTTACATTCTGTATCTGGATGGGTACTTCTCCATTAGGAAAAAGAGAAATGTTTACATCTCAGTTTTACAGGTGTCCACATGGCATTCAAGATCCAAGATCCATTGAAACTCACCAAAGAAAACTTTCTCAAAAACTTGCATATCTATCTGTTTGGCTGCCTTTCAGGGAGCAGGCTAAGTTATTATGTATATTATGTTTTAATTATGGCATGGTTATTACCTTGCCCTTGTTAGCCGCCCTGAGCCCATTGGGGAGGGCGGGATACAAATATGAAAAATAAATAAATATAAATAAATAAAACAGCAGAGAAAATCATATATAATATTATGTAAATTGTTACCCAGCACAAACCTTGCAACAAAGGGGAATAGTTACCTCAGTTCAGTTCAGTTTGGTGTCGTGGTTAAGTGCGCGGACTCTAATCTGGGAGAACCAGGTTTGATTCCCCACTCCTCCACTGGCACCTGGCTGGATGACCTTGGGCAAGCCATAGTTCTGATAAGAGCTGTTCTTGAAAAAGAGCCGTTTCTGTCAGAGCTCTCTCAGCCCCACCTACCTCACAGGGTGCCTGTTGTGGGGAGGAGAAGGGGGAGGAGTTTGTAAGCCGCTCTGAGACACCTTTGGGTAGTGAAGGGCGGGGTATAAATCCAATTTCTTCTTCTTCTTTATTGTAATTAGCCATTGGCCATTGCAAGATTACAAAACAACAATAAAAATACAGATTATGAACAAGCTATAGGCTAATATCAGAATATACAGAAGTACCGAAAGTCCGTAGCAAAATATGAATAATTTAATACAATAACGTAGATAATGCTCCTTCCCATTGCCATCTTGGAGTATATATTCAGCAAGGGCAAATAATGTGACTCTGTAAGTCATTTTCTCATGTGGGATTTTGTTAAGAACATAAGAGAAGCCAATGTTGGATCAGGCCAATGGCCCATCCAGTCCGACACTCTGTCACACAGTGGCCAAAAATACCAGGTGCCATCAGGAGGTCCACCAGTGGGGCCAGGACACTAGAAGCTCTCCCACTGTTGCCCCCCCAAGCACCAAGAATACAGTGCATCACCTGCCCCAGACCAAGAGTTCCTACCTATTTGTTGTTGTTGTTCAGTCACACAGTCGAGTCCGACTCTTCGCGACCCCATGGACTAGATCACGCCAGGCCCTCCGGTCTTCCGCCGTCCTCTGGAGTTTGCTCAACTTCATGTTCGTTGCATCTATGACACTGTCTAACCTTCTCATCCTTTGCCGTCCCCGTCTTCTTTGACCCTCAGTCTTTCCCAGAATCAGGGTCTTCTCCAGTGAGTGCTCCCTTCTCATTGGGTGGCCAAAGTATTTGAGCTTCAGTTTCATTATCTGGCCTTCCAGGGAACAGTCAGGGTTGATTTCTTTTAGGATTGACTGATTTGTTCTTCTTGCAGTCCAAGGGACTCTCAAGAGTCTTCTCCAGCACCATAGTTCAAAAGAATCTATTCTTCGGCGCTCGGCCTTCCTTATAGTCCAACTCTCGCAGCCATACATGATTACTGGGAATACCATTGCTTTGACCATGCGGACTTTTGTTGGCAGGGTGATGTCTCTACTTTTTATCATGCTGTTTAGGTTCGCCATCGCTTTCCTCCCAAGGAGCAGGCGTCTTTTAATTTCATGGCTGCTGTCACAGTCTGCGGTGATCAGGGATCCCAGGAACGTGAAGTTCCTACCTATACCTTGTGGCTAATAGCCACTGATGGACCTCTGCTCCATATATTTATCCAGTTCTGTCTTGAAGCCATCCATGCTTCAAGTAATTTCCTCTGGAAAGATAGATTTTTAATAAGTTGGACAATCCAAGCTGGGACACACATAAGGTTGCCAACTCCAGTTTGGGAAATTCATGGAGATATGGGGTTGGTACCTGAAGAGAGAGGCCTTTGGGAAGGGCTGGGAGCTCACTGGGAATGTAATGATGTAGAGTCCACCCTCTGAAGACGCCGTTTCCTCCTGGGGAATTGATCTCTATAGTGGGGAGGTCAGTTGTAATTCCAGAAGAAGTCCAGGCCACACCTGGGACCTGACAACCCCAGTTCACAATAAAGGAAGTGGAATGCATTAAGAAGACAATATATTCAATTTATAAAGATACATCAGGGCTCAGTCATACAGTGAGAAATGCAGTTTAAATATTCTTCATCCAGAATTATTCATTGAAAGGTCTTCCACAAGGAAGTTTCTTTGTTTGTTTTACTGTGCAGAAGGAAGTATGACTCTACTGCTGATTTCAGAGATTTCCCGCAGTAGATTTATTTCTTAAAATATTTATATCCTGCCTTTCTTGTGGCTCAGCTTGGGCGTTCAGCGTTCACCGAACAACAGGGAAGTATTCTGAAGGACAAAAACTTCCTCCCTATTGAGGCGTAATATAGATCAGGGAGGCAACACTGAGGATGAAATCAGCATTGGGATCAGAACTCGGTACATTTGCATCTGTTATTAGCAGCACAAATGGCGGCGGCGGGGGGGGGGGGTAATAGCCAGTGATAACCAGTGCACAATGTGGCCAATGTTGGACCGGTCACCCCTGTTGGGCCTTGCCAGGGAAGAAGAAAGAGGAAGAGTTGGGCTGTTTGCCGCGCATCCTAATCGGAGGAGATGGCAGGACCCACCCACTTAGCGGCAGCCCTCCACGCAGGTTGCTTGTCCCATGAGCACCCCTGCCCCTTCCGTAGCCCCATGGGGAATAGGGGCGACGGCCAGATGGGCCCCATGAAATGCCCACCCTGCAGGAGAGACCCCCTGTCCACCTGCTGGACTCTGCTTCCCCAGGCACTGTGGGCCTCACAGGGTCAGCACAACCACGCAAGGCCTGTGAGGGGGGGCATACTTTGACAGCTCTGAGAGAACTCCCTCCCCCCCTTGTCCCAAAAGGGGGGGCGGATGGTAAACCCCCAAGCCCAGCTCACCTCTTGGCTGAACCTAGTACCCCCCTGCACCCAAAGGGGCCACTGCTGCTGGCCCTGCCGCCCCACAGAATAGGCCACCGCCCGGCCCCGACAGTGGGGCCCCATCACCTGTCCAAGGCTCCGGCTGTGATCTGCCCTTGCTGCCAATGTTCCCTCTAAGCTGAGTTAGTGTGAGCTAGCTCACAGTTTTTTACCCTCTGGCCCACACATTTTTGTCTCAGCTCAGGAAGGAACGGGCTCCAGTCCAGAGCAAACCGATGGATGCAGTCGCCAAATCACCTGCCTGCTCACAACTTGTGAGCTGGTAGCTCACAAAGTAGAATTCTTGCTCACAGGACTCCACAGCTTAGAGGGAGCATTGTGTTGCTGCAGACTACTGCTGTGGCTGTTGAAGAGATTGGCACTGACCATGCCCTTCCCATGCCCCTAGCAGTCTCCTTCTAGCCTCGGTGCAGGCCACGACCCTGCCCCTACCCAGGAGCTTCCGGCGAGACACGTCACAGGCCGCCGGGCCTCCCTTCAACCAGTGCCACCAGATGCAGCACAGGAACGCTGCCAGTTTGTAATGTATCCAGTCCAGACAAGTCCAGACAAGCCCAGAGACAAACGTTGAGCTTCGCTCCAGGAGACAATGGACTATGCGGATCCTATCCCACTCCAATCAGGGGGCTAGGTTCCTGGCCGAGTAGCCAATGCAGCTCTCGGCCACTGTAAATAACCTATTGGAAAGTGGGGGGGGGGGTTGGGTGGCAGTTTCTCGGGGGATATAAGCCGGCCTGTGAGCCGGCCAAAGTCGTCTTGTTCCGGATAGAATAAAGTACGCTTTGCTGAAATCACGCTCCGTTTGCGTACTTTTCACAGTCCCTCACTGAGGCTGCCTGCACCACCGCCTGGGAGCCCCAGCACACAGTCAGAGAGGAAGGGGTGGGGCAGAGCGAGCCCTTTAAGTCTTTTCTGGCTCCACCCCTCCCCAATCGTGGCATTGTGACGCTGAGCATCACACATCCCTGCCTCCCCCTTCTTCTGGGGAGGCAAAGAGGAAGAAGAAGAAGAGAAGAGATTGGATTTATACCCCGTCCTTCACTCGGAGTCTCAGAGCAGCTTACAAACTCCTTTCCCTTCCCCTCCCCACAACAGACACCCTGTGTGGTGGGTGGGGCTGAGAGAACTCTGACACAAACTGCTCTTTTTCAAGGACAGCTGTGCCAGAGCTTGTGACTGACCCAAGGTCACATCATTAGGTGCAAGTGGAGGAGTGGGGAATCAAACCCGGTTCTCCCAGATTAGAGCCCGCGCACTTAACCACTACACCAAACCACTACACCAAAGCGGCCCCCCACCTGCAGCTGCCAATCGGTTCTGCAGGCTGAGGAGCCGGATTCTCTGTTGTGCCTGTTCCCACAGAACTACAATTCCCAGAGTTCCCTGGGAAGAAGAAATGACTGTTAAGCTAGTTTACATCTCTGGGAAGATATGCCTTTAGATATTGTATCCATTCCAGCAAATTCAGGAAATGTCTGTTCTTGTACCATTCCTTTGCTACTCCGTAGATTCTTGTGGATACAACTATGTGACGCATGTGTGTAGCAAGTCACGGCCACTAAACCAGTCCCGCTAATATATCCTTCCTTTGCTTCCAGGAGGCTACAAAGCCGCAGTGTGAAAAACCTGGAGGTGTCCATTCCCAGTTCCAGGCATTACTATCACAAATCAGCAAGCCCACCAATGATTATGAATTTAGCATTGCCAACAGGCTGTATGGAGCAAAGGGATTTGAATTCGTTAAGGTAAGTTGAAGAAGAACTTCTTTCAGTAAATGTCACTCTGCTTTAATTGCCTACCATTTGTTGTCTAGATGGCAAACTGGACTTTGGGGTGAGATCTTATAGCCCATCACTTGAGTCAGGGGAACTCCTGGCTCAAATCCCGTATTGATGAACAGACTCAGCATAACACTGTGGTTGAATCTGCATTTGTCTTTCCCAGCCTTCTGTCTCTATCTTCAAAAATACTGTCTCCGTTTGGTTTGGTTTTCACACCTCAACAGTGCTAGCATACTGTTGCATGTCTGCATATGTTTATCGCCCTCTCGTGGCGGCTCCACTGTCATTGCGCCTTTGTGCTGCTTTAAATGAATCTTCTCCAAACAAAGTTCAAACAAGCATAGAGAAAGACTGCGTCACAGCAGCACAAAACTGATTTAAAAATGCAAATGCAGATTTGACCTGTGGTTAATAAGAGTACTGCAATTGCATTTATTTCTTAATACAGGGCTGGAGCTGGGGCTGAAACAGACAATAGGAAATCCACATGTCAGGAGAACTCATGATGATCTTTCCGTATGGGGAGCCATGTTAGTCTGTACCAGAAAAATAAAACAGGAGTCCAGTAGCACCTTAAAGACTAGCAAAATTGATTTCAGAGTAAGGTTTTGTGAATCCTCCTTTTCTCTCAAACGCTGGAATGAATGCTGTTGGTTTTTCAAGTGCCATTGGACTCCTGTTTTATCTTTGCAAAATGCAACCGTATAGACCAGTGGTGGCAAACCTATGGCATGGGTGCCAGAGGTGGCACTCAGAGCCCTCTCTGTGGGCACGCGTGCCATCGCCCCAGCCAGGCCCAGACCATCATTAAAGTGTCAAATTCTCTGCCAAATAATTTTAAGTAAATGAAAGCATTTGGGATTGCTTTCCTTACTTTGTTTGGATCATCTTAAGTTAATGTATGAGCTGTTTTTTCTAAAGTAAAACCTCAGTATTCAGGTTAAATTGCCGTGTTGGCCCTTTGCGATAAATAAGTGGGTTTTGGGTTACAGTTTGGGCACTCGGTCTCTAAAAGGTTCACCATCACTGGTATAGAGGATGGGAGATGGGTCCATCTATACTTCAACAACACATGTTTTCTTTACTTGAACAAATATCCAGGAATGTGACGTCGCTGTGCAACTTTCAGAGCAATCCTCTGCAGAATTAGACTAGGCCGTTACCCAGTGGACTTAAATTGGAGCAACTCCACGC